TGTCATATCCTTATTGCATGCATCTCTGATTTCTTGTTTAACATCTTGCCTTACGTCTCCACTAGTCTTTGGAAGCCTATAGACAACAGTGTTTTCTGCCCCTTAATGTTTTCTATCTTCACCCATATATTTGCTTTGATTTACTCCTTTACTAACTATCCCATATCATCTCCCCTTTTTGACAGTCCTTCCTAAATAATGAATACCCATGGATGTTCAGTTCCCATCTTTGATCACCCTGCAGCCATGTCTCTGTAAATACAACTATATAATTTTCATCAGCTTCTATGGTGAGATTTAAACTTGTGCCTCTGGATCATGTTACCAGTCTTCTGGACTGCAAGTTAAGTAACAGTATGAATCTGTAACTATCCTCTTCTATATGCCTTACTGATCAATTTCTCAACCTATCCTGCCACCTTTAATAATCCAAGCACATTCCCCGCCCTACCCCCACCATTCCCGCCAGATCCTTCTGCTCCTGCACCTTTTTACAATTCCACCCTGTATTTTATACTGATCTTTAACACTTGACTGCCCATTCCATCAGCCTGTCTACATGCTCTTGGCGTTTATGACTATAATCCACACAATTCACAATACATCCACGTTATGGGCCATCTACAAATCTTGAAATTGAGAATTGTAATCTCAAGTGGCCCAAATTTTCACTGCCAAGGTAGACAGCCTGAGTCTGGAATTTCTCAGCCCACTTGCCTCAGAGAAATAAAACTCAAAATGTCATGAACTTCATTTTGGGGAGGTGGTGATGGGGAGAAATGTTGAGTGGGCGGGTGCAGGATGCAAATAACCAAGTGACAAGTTGGGCTGTCACCTCAGTTCTCTGGGATTTTGTCCCAATTGCTTTATTAAAGTTAAAGACTTCTAGCTGTCACTTCTATCACCTCTGCCAATCACTTTCTAATCACTTAATACTAACACATGCCAAAGGCCACCCCAACGTTCCCTATAGCCCCCATGCTAATTTAATGACAACTCATGCCAAACCAGGTTCCCCACCCACCACTTATGGTCCTCACAACTTCCATGCCAACTCATTCAGTATCCATTGTAAACCATGGAGCCATAGTGAGTTAATATTAATTAAAAGCCTAAATATTTATTTCAGTCTTTTTCATAGTTTAAAAACTGCTATACATGAAAGCCCATTCAAAACAGAAACCCTTCAAGTATGAATGTTAATCAAAAGAAAGGCTAGTATTCACAATCACAGACCAAAAACACGGTGGGAGTTGGGGGTGGGGGTGGGGCAAGTGAGAGTGTGACAGAGTGAGAAGGTGATGGACCAGTGATATCATCATTGAACTAGTAATCCAGATACTCAGGAAATGTTTTGGGGACCTGAGTTTCAATGCCATATGACTGACTGTGGAATTTGAATCAAATAAAATGCCCAAAGAGGACCACAAAACCAATGTCAACTGTCATAAAAACCTGAGATAACAAGGTGTAGAGCTGGATGAACACAGCAGGCCAAGCAGCATCAGAGGAGCAGGAAAGCTGACTTCTCGGGT